ATAATGAAGACTTTTGACTTCCGTGTTTTTTAATTTGTTATATGAGCATGTTTTGGAAATTATTCAATTTTAATCAATAACCTTTATCTGACATTCCCTTGTATTCATTTCTATCGTGTTTGTGCTACATGAATTAGATTAATTTTACTTATGTTTCGTGCCCAACCAAGACTTTGGAATAAAAAATTTGATCGCAGTTAGTTGACCATTAAATCAGTGCATGAACAATATCCTATCATTGTGATCACTCACAGATTTATTATAGCTTAATTTGAGTTTCTGATATTAAAAGAGACAGCTGTTCTTCAAAGCACTTTTTTTCTTTGCCGTTCCTAAATTTTTCGACGGTTTTCAAGCGAAAATATCATGGAACTTTAAATTTCCTTCGGCAAAGATTAATTCTCTCATTTTGTCACTACAAGTGATACGTTTTTAATTCAATTCAAAAGCGATAAATGTTATGCATTTTGAACTTGCTTGTGATTACTGGAGTTCACCTCCATGAAATATCATTTCCGAGAAAAAATATCTCTTCATCAGTGCTTACGCACATTTCTTAATTGTTGGCTTTCAGTCGAAATACTGATTTTCTGCATATCATTTATTAAGTCAAGGTTACCGCGAAGTAAAACGTATCCTGAATAAGTATTAACCACGTCTTTTGCAACACCACAGCCGAACAATATCAGAGCCGTTGGTAACAAATATTTCTTAGTGTCAAGCAATTGCAGTAATATATATTGAAATTCGTTAGCACTATCAGCTCAGGTCTTTTGAATTCTTTGGTGGAATTATCCAAAGGTTCCTAAGTATAAAAATCAGGACAGCAGACTGACCAAGCAGATTATTTTAAAGCAAACTGGGTCACTCGCAGCGAGCTTTCACAACCTATTCATGCAAACCTACAGAAAGTTAAACATATCTGATATTACAATCAGTAGATATTGATAGGGTGGCGAACCATATAATAACGTTTCAAGACCGCAACCAGTTTCCAGCAGATTACATAGGATACTTTTATCGCCAACAATGGTCGCTATTAAAATATTTTTGCTATAAACCGCAGTGATAAACTGTTAGATGATGTATCCACATTGTACTAAACATGATCTCAAAACCTTTTTCTTATGAAAAACAGAAACAGAAATCAGTGATATCAT